AAAACACACAGAGATATAGAAACCAAGTTATATCCATAGCAGAGGGCCCCGACAGAGGAGTCTGTTTCAGCAGAGACCAGGCCTCACAGAGAAAAGTTTAGAAAGCCCTGAGCTGCTGCAGGGCCGTGCTTTTATGCCGCTCCTTCAATGCCAAATCCTTGACTCTGAATGTGGAAGGCTGCGCCCGTACAGTACGAGACACAAGTACCATTGCAAGATAAGATGACAGCTGTCTCATTGAATCCTTGTAAACAACCATGACAAAGCATATCCACGTAACACTGAACATGTCATCAACAGTGGTGGAAATAAACTAAGCAAATTACTCTGATGAACTTTTGATGGAGGCTACTTTACTTGAGTATTCAGTTTTCTACAACTTGAAATTTCCAGTCCAACAACATTTATCTGACAGCCGTAGTGCTCACTCTTTGTAAATAAACAAAATACACAAACAGCATGGATCAGTTTATACACTATGACACATTCAACTAACAACAGAAAAAATGAGTGAAATGAACCCAACCCAGAACAACTGCTTAAAACATAACCTGCTTTTTCATTCTACCATGATCTGTCCATCTGTGCACGAGTGGTTTTGACCCCATGTTTAACAGTCTGTTCTTTCTGTACTGATGAGCATCATTTTTACTTTTGCTTATAAATATTATGTCCATGCTTCATGATGAACTTCTTTTATTATACTACCTATACTGCACATTTTAGGTCTGCATCAAAATTAGTAAACCAATTTAGGTGTTTAATAACTGATTAGCTCCACATTTATATATTGTGCTTGTTTTCTATTATTAAAACAAGTATTTTCTATAATATTTCTAGGTGTTGTTAGTCTGAATTTGTTGTGGCAGGCAGGTCCAGAGAGATACTCGCTAACTTCAGCATTACCACTGGTTAAATATTAAAGTGTGTTCACCTGCATGATGCCACAGAAACAGAAGTAAACCAGCCACTTACTCACATTGGTCACTGCAGCTGCTTCTGTTATGTAATGACCTAAAACTGATCGACTGCAGCACACTCATTCCTGACTCTGTACCTTTAGTGTTGTGGTGGAGCACCTGAGGTGTTTTGACAGCTGTTGTTCCAAGAGCAAACATCTGGATTTATATCTGATTTGATTTGATTTGATTTGATTTATTCTTTCAAGCATATAAAACAGTTGATATAACAACACCCATTTTTACACACAATCCAATATCAATGTGCTTATACCTAGAACATGCTTGAATGGAGTAGGAAGAAGTCAGACTTATCCAGTCCTACCCCATGACATCAACATATATCTGACACAATTAATCAAAATGCTCGGATTCCCCTGGCTCGGGACATTAATGACTTTAGAGGCTTTCTTTTGTTAAACTCACCAACTGCTGTATGATTTGAGTTGAGGGCACACTTACACACATAGTATCCATGTCATTATGAATTTTCCCATCATATGCAACATTTCAGTGCTAGAAAAAATATAAGTATCCCATTACACCCCTAGGTGAGGGCCCTCTTCCAGCCTGGTTATAGTCTACTCTCTGTATGTTTGGTTCAGCGTAGTGAGGCCACTGTTTTGTTTTATTCTTTTTAAAAATGTTAGGGGTGCATTGAACTGCAGACATGGACTATAAAATTAGTAATTTCAACATTTTTCTTCCTGTGGCTGTGGTTACCAGGCATTTGTGGCTCAGGAGGCAGAGAGACTCGTTCCCTAATGGCAGGGTTGGTAGCTTGATCCACATCTGCTCCAGTCCATGTCAAGTTGCACCCAGTATGACAGTTCTACCCTCCATGAGTATGTGTGAATAGTGAATGTGAGCAGAGGCGGATTTAGGGATTTGGGGGCCCTGGGCAAACCCAAACATGTCCCCCCATGGTTTATTTTCACTGATTGGCTAATGAGAATTTTATTTCAGATCCATTACAGATTAAAATGGCCATGAAATACAAATTTCAGTGCAATGAAGGCAGAGTCTGAAACATACTAGTTTATTAAGGATCATGGTTTCATCAAAAGTCTGAGAGGAACGGCAGTTTTGACTGTTGCTTGCAGCTGTTTTTAGGAGATGTTCCTCTGTGTTTATTAAATAACTATCACACATCACAGGATCCACATGATCGCCATCTAAGTGAGAGAGCTGCTGTGCACATTTACACAGGTGGCACAAGTTACAACAATCATTTCTTTAATTATTTATAGTCATTAATTATCTCTATTAGACACAGGATTGGTCAGAATCTAAGGGCACATAACATTCTGTAGGCCAATGTTTTTACACTTCAGACAGGTGGACTGTCTCATATAGAATTACAGTTTGAGGACTGATGTCAGGCCCAGTCCTTATATATAAACAGACTATGCACATGGCATTTAAAAGAGAATTTGAAATTCTCTAGCCTAAATGATCAATGCAATTTATATCAAAATATGTATAATTTTTCCATTTTTCTTTATGTTAGTACCGTGTCTGTTTCTGGTGGCCATGGATGCTATAAACAGTGGTGGAAGATGGACTCAGACTGTTTACTTAAGTAAAAGCAGCAATACCGCAGTGTAAAAATACTTTGTTACGAGTAAAAGTCCTGCATTCAAATGGTTGCTTAAGTAAAAGTACAAAAGTACTTCAATAAAATATATTTAAAGTACTAAAAGTAAAAATACTCATTATGTGGAATGGCGCAATTAACATTGATGAATATTATATTATGGGACTATGCCAGTCAATAAGACACAATTAAATTAATTAAATGTGCCAAAGAATGGGAGAAGATTCATATGGAATCTAAATGGAAGTTAAATGATGTATTGGTGTATTACTGTGTACATCACAATTAATTTTACAGCTTGTAAAGGTAGAGCTAATGATAACTACCTTATACTGTCTGCTTATACTTCGAAGTAGTTTACATACTGCTGGGTATCTTGTGAATTTCCCACCAGGGATCATTAAAGTTTTATGCTTATAGTGTAGTTTGTTTAATCAATCGCACTCTGAAAAGCGACTAGTACCTAAGGTTATCAAATAAATGCAGTGAGTACAAAGTACAATATTTTTATGTAAAATGTAGCAAAATCAAAGTATGAAGAAGCAGAAAATGAAAATACTCAAGTACAGATACCTCAAATTTGTACTTAAGTACAGTACTTGAGTAAATGTATTTAATTACTTTCCATCTCTGGCTGTAAATGTCATTGTTTACTTGCTTGACAAAAACGTCTTAACTGGACCAGCATGGTGCAACTTCTCTCTCTCCTCTCTCCTGAATACAGTTTCCTTCATCTGTATTTGCTCGTTTCTCCTTCTCCTTCCAATATTCCGCTTCATGTTTGGTTCAGCTGTTCAGACAACTGTGTTACACAGTTGAAGCTTGTACACCGTACAGACACATGTGAAGGAAGATCGCCTGTGCTTGGCTGCTGAATTCTCATTATGGTAGTTGCGGACGCGCTGTATGTATTTTGGCCTTGCCCGCTCACCGTCGCTAAACAAAACAGAAAATGGCATCCAGTGAGTCTCAGCCGCGGTTTGGTCAATCGGTTAAAGGTTTATTATCCGATAAAGTGGGCTCCTGCAGCGGGGATGCAATCGGACTGACCCGCCAAGTGCTGAAAGGATCACGCAGTCAGGAGGTAAAACGATACGAATTATTTTTGAGAAGAGAAACAACAGCTGTTGCTAACATCTTCAGTCAGAGCCACGGGTCCATGATCAGAACAGCAGCTAATGGAACATCCGGAAATACCACCATATCAGAATCAGAATCAGCTTTATTGGCCAGGTGTGTCGGACACACGAGGAATATGACTCTGGTACATCAGCTCTCAATGTGGATGTACATGTCCCCATGCAAGGGGCAAGTCAACAGTAAACCAACATAAGGCTGTGTAATATAACAAAATAAGCAGTTTTAACGAGCAACAAACAGTGCAAATAATGCAAAATAAGCAGTATAAACAGGCAGTAAACAATGCAGACCAACAAAGGAATGTTGACTGTGAAATGAGATAAATAGGAAATAAATAGAGAACTTAAAAATAGAGACCTGTACGGATCTGTATGATCTGTACAATGTATGTTTACAGGTATTGCACTGAGGGTTATTGTCCAATCATACTGTTGTGGGTTAAGTGTTCATCAGAGTGATGGCTCAGGGGAAGAAACTGTCCCTGTGCCTGGTTGTTTTGGTGTGCAGTGACCAGTAACGCCGTCCAGAGGGGAGGAGTTCAAACAGATTGTGTTCTGGGTGTGAGGGGTCTGCAGTGATCCTCTCAGCTTTTTTGTATTAAAAATAAAGGCATGGCTAGTACAGCCATTAGTATGGGTTTTATTTTGAAAATTGAGTTTTAGGTTTTAATTTTTCATTAACTTAATAATGCTAATGCAAGGCAACAGGGCTCAGTTCCATAACTGGATTTTTTAAAATGCAGTTATACTTTCTCAATGAAAGCATTTAATGCTTAACAGTGGCAGAACAACACAGCACCGGGCCCAGGTGCAGGACCATACTATCAGGCCCTCATCCCATAATTCAACTCCTATAAAAGGGTAACCAGTTGCTTGTGCAAACAATAGACTACCAACCACTTTTCTCATACAGCCTCACTATAATCAATTAGAAAATAGCACATACTCACACAAGCAAAAATGAACATCAATCAAACAAAAGGCTATGGACACTTTGGCAGATACAACACAGACAAATATAACATAGCCATGGTCTTTTACACAACAGCAATCTAAACTACAAAACAAATGCAAACTGACCAGTTATTAAATCCAAGGGTTCACGTTTTCTTATCACTGAAAGCTATACAATTAAACAGTTTGTTGTAACTATTTTGATAATTGTTAATTGATAGTTTAGTAACTTAATAATTGATCATTTAGCCACTTGAGTCACTTTACAAGCAAGTTGAGAGTGAATTGGAATTTTCTGCTTTGCTTTGTCTGACTGCAATGAGATTTGAGTGTACAAATATTTGTCTTACTTTGAGTTATATTAAAAAAGAGTGGGCGTTCTTTCTGGAGATGAACGACTCTCCAGGAACCTCACCCTGTCTACTATGGGAAACAGGAAAAGCAGTAATTAGAGGAAAAATAATATCATATTCATCATACAAGAAAAAACAACAGCAAGAATTGGAAAGCAACTTAAAAACAACTGACCGAATCATATTCAAGTAACCCTACTGAATGAATACAGAATGAATTGATCCATCTCAAAACTCAACTTGAAAGTATTATATACAAAAAAAAAACACAATTCATAATCCAACAAGTCAAATACGAACAGTTTCAATATAGTAAGAAAACAGGTAAATATTTGGCAAATCAACTACAATGTAAAAAAGAAAAGGTAATCATTACATCCATACTTGACTCTGCAGGCGAAACTGTTCATAATCCACAGGATATGAACAATGTATTTCAAGCATTTTATAGCAAACTATACTCCTCTGATCACGAACCAAGCCCATCTGAAACAGATACTTTCCTAAACAATATAAAATTACCAACACTATCCAGAGAACAAACTGATACCTTAGATGCCCCCATCACTCTGGAAGAATTCTACAAAGCACTGAAATCCATGCCAAATAATAAATCACCTGGACCTGATGGATTCCCGGCTGAAATTTATAAATACTTCTGGCAGATATTATCACCGTTATTTCTCAGTTACTACAGAAATTAAAACCAGCTCCACAGTACCAACGCATATGAATACGGTTGCCATGACACTCCTGCTCAAAATCTAAGGCACTTTAAGCAGCAAATTCAGCAATATAATAAAAATATATAAGAATATAATAGAGAATGTATGCTGCATGGGAGCAGCATGTGCAGCAGTCAACAGTCAATGTGCAATTATGCATGTGCAAACTGAGAATGTAAACAGTACATGACGTATTTCCTGGTAATAAACTCCTCAGCTGTTTAGGAGTCTGATGGCAGAGGGAAATAAAGAGTTTTTCAGTATAGAGGTCCTGCATTTCAGACTTCTGAACCTCCGGCCAGACAGTAGGAGAGGCAAACAGTCCATGCTGGGGGTTGGTTGGATCTTTGAGGATGGAGGCAGCTTTCCTACGCACCCTGCAGTGGTAAATGCTCTGCAGAGAGGGCAGTGGAGTCCTGGTGATCTTCTCCGCAGTCTTTACCACTCTCTGCAGGTGCTTGCGGTCCATAGCAGTAGTGCTG